CACAGGCTGTGCGGGTCTCCACGCTCTATTAAAACACTGCAACAATGAGAATAGCTGAGCACAGGCTGTGCGGGTCTCCACGCTCTATTAAAACACTGCAACAATGAGAATAGCTGAGCACAGGCTGTGCGGGTCTCCACGCTCTATTAAAACACTGCAACAATGAGAATAGCTGAGCACAGGCTGCGCGGGTCTACATTGTATATGACACTGTCCCATTGAATGACTGTTAGTGACTGACTAACGAAGCCACCACAACAACGACACAGGTTATAGTGTATCTGTACTGAGTGTCATTTAGATGGCCAAGGCACCGCCTGTAACCATGCAGTGTTGCGTTGTGACTGACCAGTGCGCGGGCATTGGCCTTGGCCCCCTTGTCCAGCAGGACCTTGGCCATGCGGTGGTGACCACAGTGTGCAGCCACGTGGAGTGGGGTCAGGTGGTCCAGCGTGATGTCATCAATCTCAGCATTATACTGAAGCAGTTGCCGCACACAGTCCATGTGGTCTCCCTGTGCAGCCATGTGGATGGGGGACAGGCCATTCTGCAGCGTGGGGGGAGGGTCAGCTTTAACACATTGACTACAGAAGGGCATTGATACTGTAACACACCAACAAAACAAGACTGGCCTTCTAGAAGGTCATTCTGACCTTGGTCTTTGCTTGAATCGGTGCTCCCTGGTCCAGTAGAAACTCAATGACCCGAACATGCCCATTCCTGGCTGCACAGTGTAGTGGAGTCAGTTCATCCTGAGGAGAAAGAGGCAGCGTCACTGTTGGTGTCAATGTCTTTGTGTCAGTGCCTTAGGGTCAGTACCAGTCCATACTGATCTCAAGGAAGAGAACCTTAGTCCTGGCGTCTATTTGGGCCCCCCTGTCCAGAAGCAGACGGACCATTATCACGTTTCCTCTCCTGGCGGCAATATGCAGAGGAGTGATGCCGTTCTGGAAGAGAGGAGTGCAGACACACAGTGACACAAACAAAAAGAGAAACACACAGACGCACAATGACACAAACAGAAAGAGAAACACAGAGAAAAACAGAGAAACACAGACACATGGTGACACAAAGAAAAACACAGAGAAACAACAGACATACAGTGACAAACAAAAAGAGAAACACACAGACGCACAATGACACAAACAGAAAGAGAAACACAGAGAAAAACAGAGAAACACAGACACATGGTGACACAAAGAAAAACACAGAGAAACAACAGACATACAGTGACAAACAAAAAGAGAAACACACAGATGCACAATGCACAAACAGAAAGAAAAACAGAGACACGCACAAACACAGCGACAAACGAAAAGGGCAACACACAGACAGTAACACAAACAGAAAGAGAAACACAGAGAAACAGACATACAGTGACAAACAAAAAGAGAAACACAGACAAACAGAAAAACAAACACACAGACACAATGACACAAACATAGAGAAACAAACACACAGACACACAGTGACACAAGATCAAATAACACAAAACAGATTAAAATGTTTTAAAATATTTCAACTGTGAGTAACCCACAACAGACCCACAATATAAATAAAAAATGCATGCTAATTTCTTCTAATGCTTTGTATTGTCAGTTGCTTTTCTCCACAACTGATTAACTATAACAGAAGCACATTCGACATTTAAGACAATAATATGAGTCTGTCATGAAACTAATAGGAAAAATTTGAGAAAAGCTATTTGTTATGGTCAACAGAATGACCCATATTGTGTTTCAGGATGGATCCATAAACATCTGATGTTTTCCCTCTTCATTTGCAAGAATTCTGTAAACAAGTATATATATACATTTATATATACATTTGTTCATTTTGTTGTTCGGCTTACTGAAAACTGCAATATTGTATTTGGTCATGTAGAGAAAAATGCACTTAAATACATTTATGTTAGTGGCAGAATGCGCTTAAGGGTCATTCACATACAAAACACCCATGTTTTGGTGTTTCTCCACCAAAAGCATGTATCTAGCCTACGTGCACTTCAACCCCACACTTATGTTGATGGGACAATATGCTTAAATCAAAAAACTGCACAGATACAAGCTTTTTGACTTAACTGCACAGGAGAATTGATCCCACAGTGACACAAACAAAAAGACAAACACAGAGACACAATAACACAAAAAGAGAAACAGACACACAAGTGACACAAACAAACAAAAGAAACACACATAGACACATAATGACACAAGCAAAAGAAATACACATTGTGACACAAACAGGAGAAGCACACACATAACATAGTTAAATAAACAAGAGCAACAAACACAAAGTGACACAAACAAACATAAACATAGAAACACAAAAAACATAAAAAAACACTTACATCACTTTATGGACAAAAGCATTGGGACACCGGGCTATTAGAACTACAGGAACTTTCATGACATTTCATTCCAAATCCAGAGGCACCAATATGGAGCTGGTCCCCCCTTTGCAGTTATAACAGCTACCACTCTTCTGGGAAGGTTTTCCACACGTTTATGGAGAGTGTCTGTGGGAATTTTTGCCCATTCATCCAGAACAGCATTTGTGAGGTTAAGTACTGATGTTGGACATGAAGGCCTGGCTCACAATCTCCATTCTAGTTCATCCCAAAGGAGCTAAATGGGGTTGGGGTCAGAGCTCTTTGTGGGTCAGCCAAGTTCTTCAACACCAAACTCACCCAACCATGTCTTTATGGACCTTGCTTTGTGCCCTGGGGCACAGTCATGCTGGAACAGAAAAGACCTTCCCCAAACTGTTGGAAGCATAGAATTCTAAAATGTCTTGGTATGCTGAAGCATTAAGTGTTACCTTCACTGGAACTAAGGGGTCTTGCCCAACCCCTGAAAAACAACCACATACCATTACCCGTCCTCCACCAAACATTGTTGGCACAATGCTGTCAGGTAGGTAACATTCTCCAAGCATCCAACAAAACTCAGACCTGTTCATCAGACTGCCAGATAGAGAAGCAGGATTCATCTCCACAAAACACGTTTCCACTGCTCCAAAGTCCAATGGTGGCGTGCTTTGCACCACTCCATCCGACGGTTGGAATTGCACTTGGAGATGTGAGGCTTGCATGCAGCTGCTCGGCCATGGAAGCCCATTCTATGAAGCTCTCGGTGCACAGTTTTAGTGGTGCGGTTAATGCCAGAGGACGTTTGGAGTCAACAGAGCACTGGCGACTTTTACACACGATGTGCCTCAGCCCTCGGCTACCGGGTCTGTTTCTGTTGTTCCTAAATCCTTCCACTTTGTAGTAATACCACTTACAGCTGACAGTGGAAAATCGAGCAGGGAAGAAATTCCACGAACTGACTTATTAGCATCCTATGACTGAACCACATTTGGACCACAATTGACTGAGCTCTTCAGAACGGCACATTCATTCACAAATGTTTGTTAGCCTGACTGCATGGCTCGGTGCTTGATTATATACACCTGTGGCAATGGGTCTGAATTAAACACATGAATTTTATTAAGAGGTGTGTCCCAATGCTTTTGTCCATATAGTGTGTGTAGATATGTTGGCAGGAGTGCCGCTAGAAATGTTGGGCCCCATTAAAGCATGTTATATCACCCCCACCCGTTTTACCACTGGCACCCCACCATGTCCGCCTAGGAATCCAACCCTGAAAACACAAGACCTTTCTAAGAGAATAAAAGCAAAGACTCACTTTAGGTGTGAAGTTTACATTGGCTCCCCTGTTCAACAGCAGCTGAGCCACACTCAGATTCTCATAATGAGCTGCAATGTGGAGCGGAGTGAAGCCTGTCTACTCAGGGAAAGAGAGACAGAAAGAGAGCAGGACTAATACTGCACCTTAACACCAAGAGACACACACAGCAGAGCAAAGTGNGGAGCCTGTCTACTCAGGGAAAGAGAGACAGAAAGAGAGCAGGACTAACACTGCACCTTAACACCGAGACAGTATCACAGCCCTACCTTGCTCAGCACGTCAGGGTTTGGGTCATTCTGCAGCAGCACAGCAGCAGTGCGCGTGTCATCATTACGCGCCGCAATGTGAAGGGCTGGGAGCCGCACCTTGCCCTTGGTCCCATAGTTGATGAGCAGGGCCACCACATTCTCATGGCCCTGCTGCAGCGCCACCGCCAGGGGAGTGAAGCCATCCTGCCAACGGGGGGCATGAGGACACGCAGGACACAGGGACACAGAAGAACTGAGAGTCATGGGGGAAACTAGAGGGGGGAGTACATTAGTGTTTGACGTCACATCACTGTGGGGGTCACCTCTGTGGGCAGACTCTGATTGGCTCCATTTTCCAGCAGGAACTTCACCACCTCCAAGTGATTTTCCTGTGCAGCCATATAGAGTGGACTGAAGCCTTTCTGTAAAGTGGCGGAGCAAAGGTAGGT